AGTTTGATTTATTTATTTATAAGATTATCAAGTTAAGTAATCAGTTGTTTAAACTTAACTTGACATTTAACGAGTTTAAATTTGTGTTCATACTTTTTATTTTTTTACATAATGAATTGATTTGGAATGAAGTTTTATCAAGTTGAACATAAGTCGTGCTTGCCTAGTTTTAGTTTGTTTAATCTAAATAGGCCAAGCAGAGGTAAGAAAAGAAAAGTTGAAAAATATAGAAAAAAGTAGAATGGAGAAAACGCAAGAGTACAAGGCAGATACTTACTTTTATATAAGGGTAATGCTAGAGACATCAAATTTTTTACCAAACAAATGACCAAATATCTCACATGGGTGTGGGGTCCGCAATTTTGTGGGCCCCACACCCATGTGAGACATTTGGTCATTTGTTTGGTAGAAAATTTGGGACCTCTAGCATTTTCCTTTATATAATACATATAATATGACATAATTTCTAAATCACTAATAAATATTAAATGTAATAATATATCATTTTATATAGTGTTATCGGCAAATAAAAATAATCAAATAACCGTAGAGTGAGATCGGGGTATCATTTATGGTTTCCACAACAAAGAGAAAGTACATGAATGTATAAATTTGTTGATTTGTGATCACAGAATGAATAAATTTTAATAATTCATTATAAATTTTGGATAAATTTTGAATTTAAAAAAAACGAAAGAAAGGAAAAAGGGGAATAGAATTGGAGTTTTTGGGTATTGGAGTTTTTTCATTGTCCAACCGCTTTTAACTCCTCACATTGAGAGGAAGTAGAATTGGCCAGTTCAATCCGGGATCATAAACCCACCGCAGTTTTTATTTTAGTAATCTTATTCGTCGGACATTTTACATTTGCATCATTCATAAAAAATTCATATCGATTCAATAATTATAATTATATGATTTCATTATATTAAATATTTATTTTCAAAAAAAAAAATGAACAGATAGTTTAATGTGATAAGATCATATAATTATAATTATCGAATCTATTTGATAAACCTAAAAAATTAACAAACCAATCATCGAAGTAGAGTCCATCATGGGCTCACGGCTTCAGATTAGACCATCGAGTTGTAGAGAGAAGTTGCATTCAAGGAAGAATGTTTAGAACAATAAGTCAAGTGTTTAGGAAGTACTTAGAATTTTATTTAGAAAAAGAGTGTATGGTTTAGATTCAATTACTGAATGGTATAATCTACACTTGAAAAAAATTTAGACCACACAATATTTTTTGAAGACCTAAATTTACTGTATTTAGAAATGTTATTCTTTTTGTTCTTGGTTTTTATTCTCATTGATTGATTTACTTGTGGAGAATCACATCGATTTTCCCTAATAGAGTGTATGGTTTAGATTCAATTACTGAATGGTATAATCTACACTTGAAAAAAATTTAGACCACACAATATTTTTTGAAGACCTAAATTTACTGTATTTAGAAATGTTATTCTTTTTGTTCTTGCAAGAAAACCAAAAGAATAGCATTGAATTGAAGACATTATAATTGCACAATGTAAAAGTACTTGGAGATGAGAATGGGTTTTATATCTTGACTGCTATAAATTAAATACTGCTACATATATCAGGAAGATTACTCTGACTATGTTTAACCAATCATGAAGTAACTATTCAAGTGGAGTTTGGCTCATAATCATGAGATGAGAAGTCTCCATGTGTCCCTCATCAAACTTGGCCACCATACGGATTGTTCTTGTTTGAGCAATCAATTAGGAAGTTTCTTGGCTCTTCATGTGAGGATTGATATATTTAATCAACATTGATGAGAGATTGAATATAAATAGAAATAAAATAAAATATTAAAAATAAATATAAAAAGTTGAAGATTTTAAGTAGTTTTTAGAATAAGACTACATATATTGTCAGTGAAATATAGAGAGATATAACAAGACACTTCAACTATAAATAGTTTGGATTTTTTCTAGTTTAGATTATGGATTGGAGTGGACTCACTACAAGAAATGTCACTTTTGACTACTAAAATATTGGTCGCCAAAAGTATGAAATTTGGTCGCAGAAACGATTTACCGACCAAATATTTCTGTCACCAAGTTCGTCGCCTATACCCTGTCGGCGATAGTATTGGCGACTAAACCATTTTTGGTCACCGAAAGTTAAACATTTGGCTACTAAACTTTGGTTAGTCGGGAAAGGTGATCTTTTGGTAATTAAATTATTGGTCGCCGAAATTGAACTTTTGGCTACTAAACTTTGGTTAGTCGGCAAAGGTATCTTTTGGCGACTAATATTTTAGTCGTCGAAAGTTCTCACATAAAACTAAATTAAACTATTAGATACTAAAATTTTAGTCGCTAATAGAATATGTACATTTAGGGACCAAACACTTTAGTCGCCAAAGGATGTTATGTTTTTAGTGACTAAAATATTTAGTCGGCAATTAAACTTCCCTCATTCTAATTTGTTTTAGCTACTATGTCTTTGGTCGCAAAAAGCCATTTGGTTATTCTTTGCTACTAAATTTTTGGTCACCAAAACATTTGCTTATATTTTTGGCTACCAATATATTTAGTCACCAAATACTATATTAATTTTTTTTTTTTTAAATTTCTGAACCACCTGTATCCATTATTAGTGCAACCTGTACCCTGTATAAACAATATAATCCATCAATACTGAATATATTATCAGCCATTCAACAACGTGCACACATTTCACTTCCAACCATCCAAAAAATTTATATTCAACGTCCAATTCTAAATGTAATACAAATTCCATTGATACCAAGTATAATGCAACCCCCAATAATTTAATTCCATACATAATAGAGGATTAACCAAATTTAATATCCAAAAGGAAATCTATACCACACCAAAAATTTATTCTGTACCACCCCAAAAACTAATGTGTACCACGTCCAATGCTAATTTCTATCAAGTCAAATTTTAGATATTTACCACGCAAAAAAACTAATTTGTATGAGCCACTATACATACAGACGGAGATATAAAAACACTGTCCTTCCGTAGTTGTCAAAAAAAGTCATATCCACATTTGTACATCAAAAACCATCAGCAAAAAAAAAAAATTAAATTAATCATTAGTATTGACTAAATATTGGTCAATTTAAAATTATAAAAAAAACATATAAAACTCAAAATTAAATAATCTTTTCAAATTAATCATTAGTTTTGCATACTCAAATATATATGAAATAAAATTTTTGATGTTCAGTCTGAGTACATACAACATATGAATCTAGTTGCTCTATATATCCTAAGTTTATACTTTTGAGGTGGGTGACTAAACTAAAACTAATTTTGAAGTGTAAGGATTAAACTATTCAATTTAAAACTATAAGGATCAAAATAAAATTTGAGTCAAATTACAAAAATGAAAAACATAATTAACTCCAAAAAGGCACGTGCCCCTGCTCAGATTTTTGTAATTACACTAGTACCTATATATTTGCAAAATATTTTTGTTTTAACCCTTAAAAATTATAATTGTGCCCACCTTAATTTATATAAGATCCTTTAAAAAGTAATGTTTAAAGGCCCTTCCTAATTGAAAAAAATTAAGACTTACAATTTAAGTCTCACAGTGACATGTCAAGTAATGTATTAACTTTTGATTTATTACGATCACATAAGAACTCTAAATTAAAAAATGACTCTTTCTTTTTTCTCTGTTCTTTGTTTTTTTCTTCTTCTTATTTTTTCTTGTTGGGAAATTAAACATGTGGTCCTTATAGATTGTTCACTCCAATTTGATTCTATAGTTTTAATTACATCAATTTTATCTTTTATTTTTTCACATTATGTCAATTTCATACAATTAGTAATGCCCATTAATAAATTAACACAAATTAAGAATAAAAAAAATGATCTATTCACTCTCAAAGAGATTGAGGGATTAACATAGAATTTGAAATATGTAAACCATGTGTGTAATTTGCCTGCTAATAATGTTACAATAATCATACTTTTACACCGCATTTGAAGTACCATGTGAATTGTCACCACTAGATTGGTTGAATAAGTTTCATCACTTATACTTGTTCACAATGTAGTGTTAAAAACATAATGATAAACTTGAAAGAAATAATACACTTTGAAAGGCTTACTTGGATGAACGTAGGGCACATGAAGGATAGGTCTCCAACCATCCCTCCTTGAACATGGCCATCTGCAACTCCCAAAGTAGCTACAATGATGCATATACCAGTATAATTTCCAATGTCTTCTTTCCCTGACGTTACTGAACCTAACTGTCAAGGAAACCAGATGTTGAAATTTAAGAGAGGGTTGGGTTTTGGTGAGTTAGATGATAAAAATCAAGCAGTTGATTGACTTGTGTGTTAAAATTTGTCAAACCAACCCAACCCCCCTATATGAAGATTATACTGGTAACACAAATAAATCATAAACAACAAGCAACACAAATAAATCAGGTTGTTTAGTTTAATCATTACCCCAATCAATAAACAAGTACTACTGCACTAAATTTTTTTTAGTGATCTTTTATAACTAAACTAATAATTAAAGTATATGTGAAGAAATCAAAAAATAAAATAAACTTCATTAAAGAGAAAAAAAAATCTTTAGTGAACTTTTTTCTTTTATTTTTTTTATATAGATTTCTTCATGTATATATTTTAGATCCATGTAGATTAGATTCATCTAAAAAGTCAAAAGGAATCATTAAAATATATAAAAAAAAATCACTAATGACCAAAAACAAAAAAAAAAAAACATTGAAAACAAGAAAGCAAAAAACAGTTTATGAAAACTGAACCAAAATATGGTTCTAAAAAAAAAAATCATCAAAATATGAAAAAAGTTAAAGTAAAAAATTAGTGACTTTTTTGTGACGATTTTTTTAAAACTGTCATTAAAACTTATAATTAATATCATTTTTGTGATAAAATTTTTAAATTGTCATTGAAAATTAACAATTAGCGACGTTTTTAATAGTATTTAATAAAAAATGTCATTAATTATCATATGACTTATTGGATAATAAGTCTACCTATTAAGATCTACACGTAAGTCTTCCTAAATATAATTAACTTGAAAGAAATAATACACTTTGAAAGGCTTACTTATCATATGATCTATTGGATAATAAGTCTACCTATTAAGATCTACACGTAAGTCTTCCTAAATATAATTAACTTGAAAGAAATAATACACTTTGAAAGGCTTACTTGGATGAATGTAGGGCACATGAAGGATAGGTCTCCAACCATCCCTCCTTGAACATGGCCATCTGCAACTCCCAAAGTAGCTACAATGATGCATATACCAGTATAATTTCCAATGTCTTCTTTCCCTGACGTTACTGAACCTAACTGTCAAGGAAACCAGATGTTGAAATTTAAGAGAGGGTTGGGTTTTGGTGAGTTAGATGATAAAATCAAGCAGTTGATTGACTTGTGTGTTAAAATTTGTCAAACCAACCCAACCCCCCTATATGAAGATTATACTGGTAACACAAATAAATCATAAACAACAAGCAACACAAATAAATCAGGTTGTTTAGTTTAATCATTACCCCAATCAAAAAACAAGTACTACTGCACTAAAAAAAAATTTAGTGATTTTTTATAACTAATAATTAAAGTATATGTGAAGAAATCTAAAAATAAAATAAACTTCATTAAAGAGAAAAAAAATCTTTAGTGAACTTTTTTCTTTTATTTTTTTTATATAGATTTCTTCATGTATATATTTTAGATCCATGTAGATTAGATTCATCTAAAAAGTCAAAAGGAATCATTAAAATATATAAAAAAAAATCACTAATGACCAAAAGCAAAAAAAAAACATTGAAAACAATAAATCAAAAAACAGTTTATGAAAACTGAGCCAAAATATTGTTCTAAAAAAAAAATCATCAAAATATGAAAAAAGTTCACTAATAACAAAAAAACAAAAAACTTCAATAAAAAGGAAAAATACTGAAAACAAGAAAGCGAAAAACAGTTTGTGAAAACTAAACCAAAATATTGTTGTTACAATTATAATAAATGAAACTCTTTGCTCTAAAAACCAAAAAACCAGAGACATTTGATCAACAAACCTGAAGCCTAGTTGGAGATCCACTTGTATCAGCAGCAATAGTCATGACACTTGCTAGCAGACTTGGTAATGCAATGCTAAGAAAAGCAGCTACCAAGTAGACCCATGTAGATTAGATATATATATTAGCAGCTACCAAGTAGAATGATATATATTTACTTGAAAAGCAATGCAATGCTAAGAAAGAATCACAAGCTGATACAAATCTTTAATTATGCCTGAAAAAGTGGAAACCCCATTTATTAAATTTTGAGCATCTCAAAGAATAAAAAAAAGAGATAAACTGAATCTATGGCTTTGAAAAATATTACACAATTGAAATATATTTATTCATTCATACATACATCTATTCTATATTATAAACGGAACAGCATATTCAGCATGGATGAAGTCTGATGACGTTGGTGAATTCCTCCACTCCCATTCTGGAGCCAATTCTTACTCTATCTATACTATTATATAAACTATACAAACCATTTAGCGTGAACCTGTTTTTGAAGCTTTGTCATGCTTTTCTTTTATTTATTTATTTATTTATTTATTCATATTGCATCATCAAAATTCACTATAAAACAATCAAAACCCACAATAATTGAAATCACCCATTTGATTCTAGGGTCGAGATGATACAACAAAGTAGATTAAATTTTTGAAAAGCCTAAGAGACATTTTATCAAACAGTTTGAAGGCAAGAAAAAAAAAACAAACAAACAAACAAATGGAAAAGCCATAACAACTTCCCAAACCAACAATTCATGGGGGGCAACGAGCCATTAGATTTTAATGGGTTTTGATATATATATATATATGGATATATATATACACACAAAGAAGACTAGAAGAGGAAGAAAAAGAGAGTGGTAGAAGAAGATTTCAATGAAGAAACGGTTTCAATGAAGAAAAACATTGATGGTTCTATCAATACCCAGAAAAATGGTGTAGAAGAAGACCTAATCACCAACCTAGATTTTGTGTCAAAATGCGAACTGCACAGAGAGAGAGAGAGCTTGCAATCGATGCTCCAGCTGTCGGCGACCGTGAGGAGGAGTGGCGGAGGCACGGCTGGTGGAGGGCGGTGAGAGAGGGAGGGGAGAAGAGCAGCGGAGTGGCAGAGGCAGTATAATGGGAGAGGTAGAGAGAAACGCTGAAGAGAGAGATACAGAGGCGCTGGTCTGTTGTTGTCTGGGAACCATATATATATATATATATATATTTTAACATGAATAAGACTCTTACCACTTAACTAACACAAAATATATGATAAATGTTTTATTTTATTTCTATTTATTTGAATTGCACACGCATCGCGTGTGGCAACCGCTAGTAATAGTATAGATAGATAGATAGATATATTACACCATTACCGACTAAATACTTTTAGTCGCTAATAATTTTTTTAATTCGTCTGAAATTTGAAATCTCCTCCCTCCACATATTTTAGGTTTTTGGCGACTAAAATATTATTTTGTGGCTATTAATATACTTTTGGCGACCAAAAGGTCGCCAAAGATACAAAACTATTTTTTTTTCTTTTCATTCGGCTACTAAACAATTTTAGTAGCTAAAACTAACTATACGGCGACAAAAATATTCTTTTGTCGCTGAAAATATACTTTTGGCCACCAAATTTTTGGTCGCCAAAGATAAAAAAATAATTTTTTTTGTTTCATTTGACTACTAAACAATTTTAGTAGCTAAACTAGTTCTACGGCTACTAAAATTTCTTTTAGTCGCCAATTGTGATATTTTTAGCTACTAAAATTTTTTTTAGTCGCCAATTGTAATATTTTTAGCTACTAAATTTTTTTAGTCGCCAATAATCAATATTCCCCGGCTAAAAAAAATTAGTAGCTAAATATTTGACTTTTGCCAACTAATTTTATTTTTGGTAGACAATTCCGTAACTTTTGGCGACTAAATTTTTTTTAGTCGCCAAAAACAGTCGCCAAAAATGTATTTTCTTGTAGTGACTGTTTGGGTAAGTCTCACCATGGGTTTTGTTTTAATTATTTGAATCATTCATTTTATAAGACACTGGTATATTATCTATGGGGAAAAAATTAGGTTAATATGATAATCGTAATATTTTCATTTTATCAAGTTTGTCTAAAAAAAATAGGCAACTATTTTTAGAGACAAACATGATAAAAAAAATTAATAAAAAAAAGAAATTGCGATTATTAAATCGACTTAATTTTTTTCACGGATTATATACACAAAGGACTCAACAAAATGAGTAATTCAGATTATCAAAACAAAACTTGTGATGGATCACACCGTCCTAGACAACATCCTCCTATTCAAATTTAAACTGGAGAAAAAAACCAATATTGAGCAACATATATAGCAAAATTTTAAAATACTAAAATACCCTTATCATTGTTTACACTACCTCGTCAATTAGTTAGATCCATAATCAAAAAATTAATATTTAATATTTATCAAGATCCACGTTACTTAATTCATAAGATTATGTGAATTTGAATTTGATGATGACACTCAACTCACCTACTACTCTAGATGCATGGGGCTGTATTAATCTCTCATGCACACGCGTATAACACAAGCAAGTGCTTCTGTTATTAATGTGTGCTTTGTTAGAGCTAACATTATGGTAACCGAACTTAATTATTTTGTGAAAGATTCAGATGAATTATTTTTTTTTTTTAAATTTTGATTACTTACCCAATTTGTAATCATTATTTTAAATGAAGTAGAAATCTCATCTTCCTGTTCTTGTATAAAAAAAGAAGGTAAATGTGGGTCTAATAAATTTCCAACTATACTGCCATATCTACAACACCTAATAAAAAAGAAACCTCTACTCTCTCCTTTTCTTTCTCCTCCTATGTAATGGACAAGGATTGTTTCCGGCAATTAAATAAAAAGGGTGTTCTGAATAATTAAATAAAATCTTATGTTTTAAAATTTTAAACTAAATATTTGAATAAGTTTTATTTTTTTATGTGGGTAAATTTTTTGATATTTTCAAAACTTGAATGCGATTATTTCAAATATTAGATTATTGAATATTAAAATTCTAGTAATGAGATTCTTATTCTCTCTGTGATTCTAACCATCTTAACAAATTAAAATAAAATAAAAATAATAACATAACAAGAAGTTCAACAATCATCATAAGAAAGTGGGACTATATTACGTTTTTTGATTTTCCTAAAATACTCTCACATAGTTGTTCATCTCAAATTTTATAACTTCTTATCTTATGTAATTGCTCAGATTAAATTCAAATAAAAATTTATAATTTTTTACAATTTTAATAACACACGTATCAAAGTATGCACACAGAACTAATAACGAAAAATAAATAAATAAATATAAGAAGAACTCCAATCTTTATATATGACAAAGATTGAGATTCTCTTACCTCCTAAATAAAAAAAATGTATAAAATTCATCAACTGAACTAACATGTAGTTGTCATAGGCATCCTCATTGTCATCTTTTTCTATAATATTGAGTTCTTTCACCTTCAAAACTTGTATGCATGTGATTAGTCTTTTGTTTTGTTTTTTTCCTTCTAAAGAAAGCTTCCTCTTTATTAATAAGAGCTAAATCATGCTAGATTGGTATGACAAATAATTTATGGCCCACATCTTTTGAAGGTTACCATGTTGGTGAAACAAATTTATAAAGCAATCATATGAACTTAAATCAAAAGAGATAATATAAATTATATATATAGATAATTTTAAAAATACAATTTAGTGCTGAAGTCCATTGTGCCAAGTGTAATAAGTGATGTCACAAGTCCAATATATAATGGGATTTAATTTTTATCAAATTTTCCGGAAACATTTCTCAAAGAAAGAAAGAAAAAAAAAAATTGTAATGACAAAACGCAAGGGGACTTAAACTTCGGAAAAATAATAGAAAAATAATTTCAAGAAAAATATCACAAAATGATGGAAAATATTACATTAAGACTGAAAAGTTAATAAAATAAGTAAAAAAAAAGGTAATGCTACATTTTCTACACTTTTAGTATACTGCCTAACATTGTATTTAGTACGTTTGGTTTCAGTTTTTTAAATTTAGTTTTCTGAAAAATGAGTTTTTTGTTTTTCGGATTTTTTTGTTTTTAATGAATATTTTTAAAATTTTAAGCATTTTTTTATTATTTTTTAGATATGCCTTACTTAGATGTATCTAAAAAGTAAAATATTTTTAAAAATTAATAAATACACAAAAATATAAAAAATATCCTGAATTTTTGTTTTTTTTTTTGTATTTTAGTATTTAGTGAAATTTTTAAAGATTTTTTTTCACGAAAATTATACTTTTCAAGTGTATTTATATTAAGTGTGCCTAAAAATTAAAAAAAAAATTGCATAAAATATTAAAAAAATTCAGTAAAAACAAAAAAAAAATAAGAAAGTAAAATTTTTTGAAAAGTGTTTTCAAAAAACTGAAAACAAACAGAGTGATTAGTATAATGAGTCTCACCACTCATGTTTATCAGTTATGACACGTGAGATGATACACTAGAATTTCTATAAAAAGGTGATAAATATAACATTACTATTACAAAAATATGAAATTTCTAATTTTCATTCTATTTTTATCTCTCTTCTCTTCTCCCTCCCCTCCTTTCCTTCCTCGAGGATAGTATGGATCAATTTAGGATCTTCTACCATGTAGTCAGTTATGAGAGTAGAAAGAGAACAGAAAAGAGAACTCTTGTATTCAATGTATGAGAGAAGATAAGTATATACAGAGAATATACTATAACAGATATATACAAATAATATCCTAATATATCTTAATATACTATATTAACACCTCCCCTCAAGCTCAAGGTGATAATGCAGGTATTAAGTTGAGCTTGGAAAGTAAATCAAAAAAACGTCCTAGAGGATGAGCCTTGGTGAAGATGTCAGTTGTTTGACCGGTAAAGGTCACAAAGATAAGATGAACAGTGCCACTAGTAACGTGTTGCCGGATGAAGTGACAATCAATCTCAATATGCTTGGTGCGATCATGGAAGACATCATTATGTGCAATTTAAATAGCACTCTGAATGTCATAATAGAGGGTAGTGGCAGCAGGATGGGGTATTCCCATATCAGTACAAAGCCACACAAGCTCTTAAGTAGTATCCGCAAGAGCACGATACTCAGCCTCAGTACTAGAACGAGCAACAAGAGTTTGTTTCTCGCTACGCCAAGCAATGAGAGAATCACCCAAGAAGAAGCAAAATCTTGTAGTAGAGCGGTGGTCAGTAGGATCCCCGGCCCAATCTACATCAGAAAATGCATGTAACTGTAGAGAAAAGTTGAGCTTGGAAAGTAAATCAAAAAAACGTCCTAGAGGATGAGCCTTGGTGAAGATGTCAATTGTTTGACCGGTAAAGGTCACAAAGATAAGATGAACAGTGCCACTAGTAACGTGTTGCCGGATGAAGTGACAATCAATCTCAATATGCTTGGTGCGATCATGGAAGACATCATTATGTGCAATCTAAATAGCACTCTGAATGTCATAATAGAGGGTAGTGGCAGCAGGATGAGGTATTCCCATATCAGTACAAAGCCACACAAGCTCTTAAGTAGTATCCGCAAGAGCATGATATTCAGCCTCAGTACTAGAACGAGCAACAAGAGTTTGTTTCTCGCTACGCCAAGCAATGAGAGAATCACCCAAGAAGAAGCAAAATCTTGTAGTAGAGCGGTGGTCAGTAGGATCCCCGGCCCAATCTACATCAGAAAATGCATGTAACTGTAGAGAAAAGTATGTTGAGTAGTAAAGACCATGGAACATAGTGCCATTTCGATAGTGCAAAATGCAAACTAGGGCATCATAGTGCGGAGAGCGAGAAACAGCCATAAACTGACTGACAATGTGAACAGCATAGGCAATGTTTGGACGAGTAACCGTGAGATAAACAAGACTGCCAATTAGCTAACAATATAAAGTAGCATCAGATAATAGGTGACCATCAAGCAGTGTGAGACGAGTCCAAGGATCAACTAGAGTAGTAGTAGTCTTGCAATCAGTAAGAATAGCACGAGTCAAGAGATCAGAGATATTCTTTTATTGTGTTAGAAAGTAACTAGAAGGAGCATGAGAAATTTTCAAGCCGAGGAAATAGCTAGGCAAACCCAAATCTGTCATCTCAAACTGGTGACTGAGGAACTGTTTGAGACTAAAGATACCCATTGTGTCATCGCCGATGATGATCATATCATCCACATAGAGAA